AAAGGAGATCATCAAGAAGAACAATTCATGTAGAAAGAAGTGGAGAGGTACTACCTATTCTAGAAGCAGCATCACATGATTCTATAGAAAAGAAATTCCAAGTGAAGACTAGAGGAAATTGAAAGGAGGAAAATTAGAAAAGGATATAGCAAGAGTCAGACTTTACATGATTAAGTTTTCCAGTTCGCCTCAAACTTGATGACTCTAAAACACAACTATTCACGTCTCTTTAGAGAAAATATGCCTCAGTTTCATCAACTGCTTCGTGCCTCTATCATTTCTAGTCAGTCTGCCTCTTCTTTTAAAGCATAGCTTCTTTCAATTGGTGAATCAGAAAAGCTTTTTATTAAGTGCAGACCATTTTAATCCTTTTCTGTTCCCTATAGGAACTGAATCTTTCTATTTTTATTTTTATTTTTTATTTTAATTCTGTATAATATCGGACTGAGATGAGCTTAAATGAAGCGACAAAGTTAGTGAAAATTCATATAGCCGACCCCAACGTGCTTGTGATCGAGGTGTAGTTGTAATTGTTGTTATTGGTGGTGTACAGGAATTGTATATTCAATATCTATAATTTGCTTACTTCTTTCCTCCTAACCGCATTAATATCTTAACATCCCTTTAGCTAAAATTGTCCAAGTAACATGGCAATATTTAATTGCAATATATTTGTGCCAGCTGCTTTATTTGCTAGACAAGAAAAGGAAATATAGAAAGGAAAAGGGAATCTGCATCATTTTGAGCACAATTATAGTTTTTACTTCTATTGCAAATACTTTAACTAAAAATTAAGCAAGTAAAGCTCTATATGATAATATCACAATAAGCATCGCAACAACTGCATCAATGGTAACCAAAGTATACTCCCCTACTCTACACATAAGCAAACGATACCCCAGGAATGTGAGTTCTTCTCCTACTTCAAGATTGATTAACCAATTTAATGTGCACATTTTCTTTATGACAATGGTAATAGCGGCCAACTTGCGCGCATCTCGACTATTCCACCAGGTACCTGCTATCTCTAGCAGCGCAGGTAGCAGGTAACTCTGCCCACCATGACTTAGGAGATGGAAGGAAATCGTAGAGATTTTTCTTAAACGATTTTAATGGGTGCTTAGAACCTTTAACCAATCAAAACACTCATTCTCATGAATCTCATCATCCTATTTTGTTACATGCACTTGCCAAGGATATGACTTTTGCTTCTAGAACTAGCAGTTTTAACCGAATAGCTAAAAACTTCAACTCACTCAAAAGACCAATTTTCTCTTCTTTTTTTTTATAACCCAGAAATCCCCCAACGCCAGTGGCGCACAATTTGAAACTTAGTGGATAATGGACCCATCCCCGTGGGCGGAGCTAGAGACCAAGGTACGGGTTCGGCCGAGCCTAGTAACCTTGGTCCATGCTCTGTATTTATCTTAAAATTTTCATTTAATATGTATATATTATTAATTTAGAAACAAGTAACTTTCTAGAATCATGAACCCATAAATTTCAAATCTTGGCTTCCCCACTACCCTTCTCCACTTACATAAAGACCAAGTTACTAACATAGAGATCCTACAATTTACATTTAGATTCATCCATACCAAAATCATCAAAACTAACAAAACCACATCTAAAAAAACAACCAAAAAATTCACAAAAATGCCAAACATCCACAAGTTTCAATACTGAATCATTGAACAAAATCTACCAGAAAAGAACAAACTTTTAGAAAAGGAAAGTTACCTCAAAAACAAATCTATCAAGCAAGAATCTGACAGTGGGAAAGAAGAAGGCAAACAATGGAAGAACAGCGAAATCTTCATATGCAGGGTAAGATTCATATTCCCAATTAAGAAAACTCCCAATTTGAAGCATACCCATTATCTCAATTTCCCAAAAGATTCAACCTTGCATATGTTATATGTGAAATTTTTGATGGGTTTGCATGTGAATTGAGAAAAATCCGGTTTTTTTAGACCCTTTTCTGAGTCTGAGTTGGAGTGTGACTTTGGGAGCTTCGTTTAGCTCGAAAGATTGGATCAAGTGGATGATGGTGGGTCCCATGCCAAAGCACATTTAATTTTAATAAATAATGGTCATAAACTATTGAATTATCTCCCGTCTATTATATGGCACGAAAGACATTTTAAAAGACTATTATAGTCTTAGGGTGTGTTTGGTACGAAATTGTTTTTGGGGGGGCAAGTGCACACAGTCATTATCATGGATGTTATTTAGAAATTAATTAGCTCTTATTTTGTTCTAAAAATTTTAAACTAAAAATATGAACTTCAGGACAATTCAGATCCCAAAATTGTACTGAAAAACTAAAATTCAGGACGCACTGACTAATTCCTAAATAACAGCCCTATAGAGTGGTTATGCGGTGTCATTTCTACTGAAAATATTTACTAAAACGCATTTTCAACCTTCCTCGTCCTATTCTTCACTCTCACCCCATCCTCCCCCTCCTACCCACACTCTCACCCCTAACCCGGGCCCACCCCACACCTCTTTCCCCCTAATATCGCCACTGCCACTTCAGTCCCTAGACCCTGATTTACGACCCTCCCCGCCCTTACCCACTTCGTCTCATATAGTATTTGCCTAAATTATATATTTTCCAATAATATTTTGTGCTACCTAAATAAACACCGAAAATGTAGTAAAAACCCACTTAATACCAAACACACCCTTAATCATAAGTGTATTCAATTATCATTATCCTTTCCAAATGTCTCAAGTAATTAATATTCTAGCAAGGGTAAGTGCGTAAAAAAGGATAAATGCTTATTGTTTTTACACAATAACAACGAAAACGACATCTCAGTCTTAAATATGATGGGGTTGACTATATGAATAATTATCATGTAACTCAACATGTTATCATCATATATATCAAATAAGAAAAGAAAATGACAGATAATATATATATATATATNATCTTTTCATTTTATTGTGTATTATCTCTAGTTAAGTCTGTAGTGTCAAATATTTTAAAGCAAATTTAAAGTATGTATTATGTAACAATAAGTATGTATTATGTAAAAACATATTCTAAATTTGGAGGAAGTGTTGTGTAACAATAAGTATGTATTATGTAAAAACATATTCTAGATTTTTTAACTATTTGTATATAATTTGCTTCTCCCTTAATCAATAAGAGAAAAGAAAAAATAGAAAAGGAAAGAACATGCAGAAATGCATGTCAGATATCGGTTCACATGCAAATCATAAATTTCAATTTTCAACCATACTTAAAAGAACCCAAACTGATACTCCTATTATAATTATTAAATTTCAAAGGACTAAGCAAACATGTTCCACCAATAAATGAAGAAGAATAATTAATGAAAAGTCAGTCTGCCCTTGTCTGTGATAGAAGTTTAGGCATAATAACTGTACTATAATTTATAGTAGTATATTTTATTGACTTAGTTTAAATATTAATTTAGCAAAACATTTCTAATAGCGGAGAGAAAAGAAGGATGAGGCCCTTTTTAATAATATCTCAATTGTAACGGCAAGGTTTCGTTTGTTACGGGATAAAGGATAATTAATCTCTGAATTAAATTTGAGGTAAGTTTATCTTATATTTGGTTGAGATAAAATCGCGATAGTGTTATTTTATCCCAATGGGAGCATTTATCCCGATGGGAGGGTGGGATAATTGTAAGGCTCCGTTAAATTTTTTTAATAATTTAATATTTTAAAGTGCGATAACACTATTCGGGAATAACGTATTCGAGTATCAAAGGAGACTTATGGGGTGGAACCACATTATTTGGACATCAAAAGTGTTTCAACGACATCGTTTCTTCGAGTATAAGTGGTATCACATTAAGCAAATGAGCTCCAAATTCAGTTTCGATTGAAGCATTAGATCCGTATTGAAATTACGAAGCCATAGCAAAAAGAATCGTCGAATTCGGACATCGTATGAGAGAGTTATGCCATATTTTTCCATCGTCAACGCCTAGGGTAGCGTAGGGCGCTATCCCTGGCGCTGGGGATCTTGAGGTTCTGGAACTAGCGCCACAGGCCCCACGCCACCTGTGGCGCCAGAAAACACTATATACTCATTCGGGGTTCATTTTACCCCATTTCTCTAGGCCGAACTTTGGGGTTTTCCTCCACTCTCTTAAGACCCCCCAACTCCCCCCATCTTCAAGGTGAGTAATTCCTACTAATTTTGTGTTTTGATTCCATCAATTTCATCCTAAAACTAACTCAATCCTCCATAAAATACATAGATCTTCAAGAACCCAAAGGAGGATTTTGCAAGATTTCTTCCAAAAGGTAATCCTACACCCTTAGACTTACATGTATGGATATATTATGGGAATATGGGTATGAATTACATATTTGAACTTATGATATGGTGATTGGAAGCCATAAGTTCCCAATTTAAATACATAACCATTGTAGAGATTGAAAGGTGATTATTTGATGGAATTTTGTTGGTTGGGTATGGATGGATGGTCATGTATGTGATGTTGGAAGTTATGAATTGTTTAAGAATGATGGTGGGATAAATTGTTGGTAAATGGTAGTAGTTGGATGAACTAATTTTATGGGTAAGAGATTTAGAGATTCATGCCTACTAGGTGTTTGATAAAATGCCTAAATGGCCTAAACTATGAAATTTATTACTAATATTGGTTCCATTGGATGTTGTTATTGTAGATTAAAGTTGCTTAGTGCAGTTGATCGTTGTAGTATCATTTAGAGATGAATTTGAGGTATGTTGGCTAAACTTTCTCTCTTAGAATCTAATTCCATAATGTTCCCGTAAGTTCAAGTATGGATGGCTCAAGATTTCTAATTTCTATATTCCGGATTATCTCCTATAAACTTGGCTATTCCGAATGAGCCTTATGTCGAAAGATATATGTTCAAAGTATGATTTGCGTATTAAAATGTTATGACTTTGAGTCGTGTTTTAAATGAAAACTAGTATACTAATTGGGTGAGAAAAAAATTCGATGTGCTTAAGACTCCAAATTGCTCATATGTGTACATAAAGTCTTGATTGAAAATATCTTGTTGTTGATAATCTATAAAGATGCTTGAAAATGAAATAAGTGAATAGGGGATATAGAGTGTGGCCAACGTGCCAAGAATTTAAATTATGATTGTGGCTAGTATTGCAAATAAAATGAGAGGATGCGATAAAGAATATGAAATGAGCCTCGACTCAACTGTTTAAAATTGATTTCGAAAATAGAATTGCCTAAAAGTTCTTGTACTCAATTCATGCCCATAAGTGGCTATTTTAACTAAAGCTTTACTTTATAAATATATCCAATGTGGCTCGAGTTCTCACATACTTAGGCGTTGAAATTGTATATTGTCATCTCTGGAAAGAGTATTGCAAGAATAAATGGTGTATTGATTGTGTATGATTTTGATGTGTGTTTCTATTACTGGTCGGTATGCCCCATTCTTTGGGAAGAAACCTTTTGTGTTTAAAGTTTCTATTACTAATGAATTTGAGGTATATGATTGCTGAAATATTCTATATGTTGATATTTGATGGTGATCTTTGAAATTGAAATAGGTAAAAGTGTGGAATATGAAATACGGCCATCGTGTCAGGAATAAAGAATCTTGTGAATGGCCAAATGAGCCAAGGAAATATTGTCGTTATGAATGACTGAAAATACCAATGAGAATATATACATGTGAAAGATGTTGAGGTGAGTACAATTGTAATTATATTACCTATGTGTGCAAATCAAATCAAAAATATTTTTTGGGAGCATCATTAGCAAAACCGAGGAAGGGTGGGTCATAAGGCCCACACTTGAAACTACACGTGCCGGTGTAGGGGTCGATTGTGATTATTCCCCTTATTTGGGATGAAATTGTGATATTTTCCCCCTTAATTGGGATGAAATTGGTGATAATTGTGGATTTGAAAAGTCAACCCACACGGCATATGTGGGAAGACAGCCTAGCTGATCGGGTGGAGATCGGACTCCATGTTGTGCACATGGTGGTACTACTCTTGGTAACAACTTTATTTCGCATCATATGTCAAACCACATTATCCGTGGGGAGATGGACTAGCCGATCGGGCATGATCGGACTCCGTGCTAACAAAGACGGTGGTATATCGGTGCTAATGATCTCCCAATCAAAAATGGTATATGAAGTTCGTATTTGTAACGACTCGGCCGGTCGTTTTAAAGTTATAGCCCTGATCCCCTATTAACTGCTTCTCCCATATCTATTTCTGCTATTGTGACTTGCCGGGAGGTTTCGTTTTGGTTTTTGGAGTGATTTGGGACACTTAGTCCCTAAATGAAAGTTTAAGTCTTAGGATTTTGACCGTAGTCGGAATTGTGTGAAGACGACTCCATAATGGAGTTTCTTCGGTTCCGTTAGCTCTATTGGGTGATTTTGGACTTAGGAGCGTGTCCAGATTGTGTTTTGGAGGTCCGTGGCTTATTTAGGCTTGAAATGGCGAAAGTCGAATTTTTGGAGATTTGGACCGGTAGTGAAAATTTTGATATCGGGGTTGTATTCCGATTCCGAAAGTTGGAGTAGGTCCATAGTGTTGTATGTGACTTGTGTGCAAAATTTGAGGTCATTCGGATGAGATTTGATATGTTTCGACGTCGTTTGTAGAATTTAGAAATTTTAAAGTTCATTAGGCTTGAATCAGTACATAATCCGTATTTTTATGTTGTTTGACGTGATTTGAAGGCTCGACTAAGTTCGTATGGTATTTTAGGATTTGGTTGGTATGTTTGGTTGAGGTCTCGGGGGCCTCAGGCATATTTCGGATGCTCAATAGGTCATTTTTGGACTTAGGGAGTTGGCAGATTTTCTGGTGTTATTGCACATATTTTTCTTAATCGTGTTCGCGAGGGAGATCTCGCGATCGCGTAGGTCATCTGAGAGGTCAGCTAAAATTGCTCTTCACGTTCGCGAAGCTGAAGACGCAATCACTTAAGGTTATGAGGCAGTGCACCGCGAACGCGTGGGCTAGGCCGCGTTCGCGACGAAGAAGTGAGGCAGCAGTGGAGTTT